TATTACTCTTTTCGCTTTCTATATATGAAAATCTGTTTCAGGTTGGAAAATGAAAAATAATTTGTACTGAATATTTTCTGTTGTAATAAGTACATTGCTTTCAAATTACTGATCTATTTTTACAGACGAATTACTTAAATTGCGTCGTAGTAAAGCAGCGTCTTTTAAATTTAACTCAGTTTTACCGAAACAAATTAAATCTAAAGGTATTCATAATGAGCTAAAATTTCTTTGGCCAAAAAAGGTGCAGAGAGGCGAAAAGATAGATTCGCAAAACTGTCAACTGCAGAGTGTCTGCTTTCAGGCAGCGCCTGTTGACCTACTCTCACCAACACACACAAATATACAAATCCACTGCTTCTCTTTACAACTTGTTAAGACTCGTCTTTGTCTCTACCTCATTAGAAGGCTGTATTGTGCGCTTTGCTTTGAAATTACAGCGCTCCTCTCGCATGCCAGCCGCTGTCATTGTGCATTTTATCTCTCATACATTCACCCTTCATCAGCATCATCTTCTGCTTCGTATGCTGTGATTAGCTTAATTTAAAGTTAATTTTAGTTAAAACAAGGCGTTGTTGTACCTGCCACGCTGCTGGCAGTGGACGACGGCACTACATAACGCAATAAACAAAGAGTCACTGGATTCCTTTGCGCTGCACTCGCCYCTTAAAGAGAGCTGCGTCATTGGCACAGGGATCAACACACCTGCCGCATGCTTTCGCAGAGATTATGTATGTGCGTATGGCACTTGCAACACTCGAGCGATGMTTTGACTCCCGGCGCACCTGACTGCTGACCGCCCAAGTGAGATTTCTATCTAAATTGATGCGTTTTTCCATGCTTTTGATGAGTCCAATTAAATTAATTACCGAGCATTAGACAATCCAGTGGCTATGCGCCAGCAGTGTGCCAGACACAGCACAGCACAGCACTGAGTATATGTATGTAAGCATAAAGCTCTGCGGCGTTAGTTCTAATCAAAAGGTAGCTCAGACATCTCGCATTACAAAGTTGCCCCTAGTTCTCGTTTGTTCCGTTACTTTTTTTTTTCGCTGCATTTGCGTGACGAGCGGGGCGTTAAAGGGGTGTGAGCGCATAAATGGCAGACTTGACAGTAATTTTTTTCATCACTTTGCCGCCACACAGGCACACACAGCGCCGGCGTTGATTTGTGCGCCTAGAAGTATGCAGCGCTGTGCGTGGAAGTGTGTGTGCGCTCGAGTAACAAAGTTGCGGCGCTGCGATAAGCAATTTTATATTGATGTAGATTGATTAAGTTAATTGAAATTCACACAAAGCCATTCAGCAGCTGAAATACCCGATTAAACCGGTTAATTGATGCAGCGGCAAAAAAGCAGAAAGAAAGCAGGAAGTTGAGCAGGGGAAAAAGAACTCTTGAATGTTTGCATCAAACAGCAATTACCCATTTAATGCCKTGCTCACGCTACGCTGAAGCGCGGTGGAGTGGGCAAAAGAAGTTTTGTTGAGGTTATGTGCTTTGAGTTCGCGTGAATAGTATTACTTTACATTTGTAGGTGTGTATGTATGTTCAGCTCTGGGCAATGTGCTCTTTAACAGTTATAGTTTCTAACTTTTGATTTTTATAACATATCTAGAGAAGTATCGCCGCTCTTAGGAAATCGTGTATTAATTTTTAACATAGGTGTGTTAATTAGTGGAATATGCTTCCATATCTTTCTTGTTCTTCTCCCCTAAGTCCAAAAAACTATTTTGCAAATTATATGGAATATTTGGTCGGTCGACTGCTGCCAAAGTTTTGTGGTAGAAAACGAAATGGAAAATAGGAACTTTATTTTATACTCGGTAGCGATTAGAATGAGATAGAAGTATATCTGTTAACAAATTTTCAAGTTACTTAACGAACGAGGACTTTGGCTATTGATATTAACTTTTTTGAAAAACTGGCGACTAGGTTTTAGGAGTTTTACGTATCACAAAAGACTAACGATATTRACCGTTCCAGTTTGCGTCAGTGCCACCCTTCGCGCGGGAAGATGTAATAACTAATCTAATAAGCACCTTTGCTTCGCTGAAAATATACTCCTTAAACAGCCAGGAACCAATATTTATAATAGCTTTCGGAAAAGTAAGGGTGCCGCGATCTACTAGAACATCATTAGATAATTTCGCTTCATCTGTATTCTTAACATTTTTATTAATTTAATGAGTAAACTTATAGGACAAAGATTTTCAAGGATAAATTAAGATTTTTAAAATTAAGAACAAAGTCTTATTATTTTTTGTTCATAGTAATATATTTTACTTTTCTTATAACCGTATGGATCATATCCAATATTAATTTTTACAATTGACCCATTGTAGAAGTTGCCACAGGTTATAATTTTTATTACCAGAAAATATAGTAAGAGTCTTTCGATGCCATCTTTTCGATCTTTGAACATGCCATTTGCAYGACAATCAGGACGAATATAAGTAACCGGCATGGACCCGGAATTTTATGCCGCCAAGAACTTTAAACTCGRCATAATTTTTCGCATAAACATGAAGAAGCTTTGAATAAGCTTGTTGATAAACATGTGTATTGAATATAACAAASAAATAAATACTAATTGGAAGCTTTTTCAACATTATAGGATTTCAAAAACGCACGCAGAGACTTATGCACACATCAGAAAAGCCAAATAGTGTCAAATCTCAACTGAAAAAGTGCCGAAGACAAGTAGTTAACTCTTCTTATAGTTARGCTTGGGTATTGTACCAATACTCTTCTAATTTTATTGTCAGAAATTTAGAGTTTTCTGCTACATATGTGAATAAGAAATAAGCTTTCAATTACTTACAATACTCAAGCTTATTTGCTCAGCACGCTMACTAAGCARATACTTCATGGCGTATAAGTAACTTGCAGTGCGCACCTTTGTATTCCACCACTCTTCTCGTAAACACACAAGCGATTGCATGCAAAAGGAACTTAGAAAGGTGTAAAAAACCATAAAAAAGAGGCAGAGAATCAGTGATATTTGAATGGCCTTGGCCCGCCTTGGACCGCGCACTTTGCGTGCAACCATAAATATTCTGACTAAATAATTTTCACATAATTTTTATGCAACTGGCAACTGCTTTTAAGACTTTGCCTGCCACATAACTTGTAATTAGCGTTTCCCAGCACAAGCACAAACTTACACATACACAAATAACTGTGTGGCAAGTGCAACCAAACTACCGCGCGCGTGTTGCAACTTCTCATTTTTGCCGCAAGCTCAGTCTGTTTGACCGCTGCTTAAACTACGCCTGTTTGTCGACTGTGCGGCGCGGATGCGGTGCAGGTGGGGCGCGCTTAACTTCAATTCTCATGAGCTACACATTTTTCTGTTTGCACACTGACGAAAGCGAAGCCCTCTAAACAAACAGTGGAGAAGTACTTGCAACAAAGACTCTGCAGTCACAATAACAAGTGCATTATTTATTCCTTGCTACCATCGGCGGAGCATGGAGGCTAGGTGGTGTCAGCTGGGTGTTGCCATTTAGAGCGTAATGCGAGGCGGTTGCGTGAGTTCGCCGTGAGTTTTGCGTGAATTTGCGTAAATCTGCGTTTCCGCGTGGAGTTCAGAGCTCAACCGCTCAGGTCGGTGGGTCGGCAAGCGGCGGAAACGCCCGGATTCTTTTAATGTAAAGTTCCGCGCTTGAGCGAATGCTACTAATTACTTGGAGTTGAGAAGTTTGCTGGCGGCGCGCAGCCAGACAACCGGCCTCAGCGTCTGCGTAAGTTTGTTTTCGCGGTGTAGAAGACTACAGTGGCGYCAGAAGTTGCACTTTGCCTTTGCTGTAAGCTGCGGTAAATGCCAGTTAAGTTTGTGCAACTTCTATATAAACKGCTGTTAACAGAAAATCTAGTAATTAGTGTCTGCTTAAGATTTGTATGCTATGTTGTAAGCAGTAAGAATATGTAAGAACATTGTAAAAGAAATGTTTGTGTTTTGCGTGTTCTGTGAAATGGTGGCACAAGCAGGACAACATTCACTACAGAAATATTAAACAAGAAAGAAGCATTGTGTCTGATTTAAAGCATTGATTCACAAGTCCAAACTAGTGCTTTTAGAGTCAAACCTTAAAAATATACGGTATAATAGATTATATCACAATATCATTTAGCTTTACTTGCTTGGACCTCGGCAGTATGAGAAATTTTAAAAATTTCCTTCTAAATCGGGCGTTCGTTGACTTTGTTAAAACGTTCGATTTGCCAAAACTTAAACATAATTGTTTTTACACTCAATGTACACTCTACTACTATTACTGCTGGGAAGTGTCCAGTAAGAACTCTTACTATAACGGCAACATGAATTTTTCTAAAGGGAAGTAATTCAGAAGATTTCTAACGTTCTACTCGAGGCCAAAAGGATTTTGCAGTTTCAGAGGAGCTTCTCGTCGACCAAGTGTGGACCATATATTCATTGTTATAGGCGACATGAGTGCCTCGTTAGATCATCGGCTTTGCAGTTTCCAGCATTTTCATTATGAATAACGTCGGATGATGAAGTAGCGTGACGCTATTGCTAGTGAAGACAGACACTCCTTGACTCACTTTAAGTTTGCGAGCTCAATGTAGCTCTGCTGTCGGAGTGAATGCTTAGCTTCCTTAAAGCAGCTGCATACCTTAAAGGCGGGCACTTCTGCCTGAAAAGCACTACAGTAGTGTGCTCCTTATAAAGACCCCCTCCCCAGCACTGCGGTTCTTTTACAGCGACTTTTTCCAGTACACATATCCCTCGTGGTTATATGAGCGAAGAAACAGCCGAATATAATCACAAAAATATGAATTAAAATACCTTATCTTACCAAGTTTATCAGCCAAATAGATAAACTAACTAGTTAAGGCTTAAACGCCTACAAAAACGGATGAAACGCCAACTTTCCCACGAACGGCTAATTCATCACTAAATGTACATGTTTCCAATCGTCTACATTAAACCCATAAAAATGCGAAAAAATTATCTACAAACTACTTGTCCACTTACCGCATACTTTTGCGCACATCCTGCGGTTCAGGTGGTCGCGGTCGATGCCTGCAGACGACCACAATACCCGCGACGATAATTGACGTTACAATGACGGCACCTATCGCCACCACGGCGGCCAGTATGAGTAGCTGCGACTGCTGTTTCTCATGTCCATGCACATTGATGCTGGCGCCCGCCCCCACCGCCACGCCGCTACCGCTGGCGCTCAGGCCGCCACTTGAATGGTGTGTCGTTTCCGCCGGTGTGGGATCCTCGGAAAGTATGGACTCGTCTGCAATAAAATAATTGTGAATGGTTGATAGAAAAAAATGTAAAAACAATTTACACACACATAACCTCAAAGTAGTGAAAGTGAATAATATATGAACGCAAAAAATCTCGTTACAATAATATGGAAATGGGTTGTATATTCGTAGGTCACCCATCAGTGGAGCAAACCACTTGCAAATTTGCTGTGAAATGTGCGCGCTGTGCAAAATGCAGAGCCACATTAACGCGTACTTAGTTCACAGTTAAATAGATTACATATACACATCGACGAGTGACTAACATGTTTGTAGGTATATGTAGATTAATGTGCATAAGTGCACACACACATCGCGCAAAAGTTGAAGGTAGTTGCCAAGTACTTCACTTTTTCCCAGCGTGATACGCGTGAGCATATTTTCCACTCAAGCTGGTGCCAGTGTGTGTGCGCGCGCGCTCATCGACTTACACTCACACGTACGSCACTAAAGCATATTTGCTCTATATTTGCTTAAAATTAGTTTACTTTAATCTCATTCCAAGCATACTTCCTTTCACATTCATTTCGATGAGCTGCTAGCAATCCATGCGGTTYTAAAGTTACCTTCAAAATGTGGAGGTAATTAATTCGTGAGTATTTAGTTTGTGGAATATATTTAATTTCGATTTAAGCCAGCATAACAATAAATATATAGTAAGATGTGGACCTAAGATACTAACACTTACTCAAAATAAAGAACTTATAGAAAAAAAAGGTTAAACTTAAAATTTAGCGAAGACACGCACACAGTAAGGTAGAAAGTTAAAGKAGATCAAATATTTATTTCGTTGTGAAGAAAAGTTAGAAATTATTAAGCTAATTATTTGTTACAAAGTCTCTGAAACGAGRCTTTTTGACTTCCTTTAGCGAAATATTATAAAAACAAAGTAATATTTGTAAATGGCATACCATTAGGCGCGAGTTTAGTAGGAAGTTAAAGATAACTTAGCTAARTCATGCACATATAATGTTATATTAAGTAAGAATAACAATTTTTCACCATAAATTTTAGCTGATGTACAGCCCATTTTAAACAAAAGTCTATGAATCAAATAGCCCTTAGTGAAGCATAAAAAATAAATTAGATATTAGAAAGAAAACAAAGCAAGGCCTTCTCTTTCCTGTTTTAGTACTAGAGGAAATATTAGTCTAGTTTTATRCCTGAATACTTGTAAAAAGCGTAAAGAGATTAATTACACACAAAACAAATTTTTAGCGGAGACATATACCTATTTTGGTAACCACATAATTAAAGGGTAATATCTAGTTAGTGGCAGTAAAAACAAGTCTGTTTTTGCAGATGCATWTTAGAGAATTTAAAGTATTTCAATAATAAACAATTAATTTTAGATAGTTTTGATCCGGTAACCGATCTCCAGAGGGAGCTTTGCTTAAATCAGGCTGGTGGTAAGAAATAATATTAAGCTTACTCAAATCGAGAAAAAAAAAATATGACGATAGACAAATAGAAATAATCATAGATGGAGTATCATTAACTGACATATATTTCTAAGAAGTCGTGTGAAATTTTCCAGACGAGGTCAAGTCGTTTCTGAGAAATTTTCGATGAATATTTTCGAATTTAGTACGTAGGTGAATTTTGATGTTATATTGGTCATTTGTAGGAATTTGCCACATCGAACAACTAYATCACATTTAGCGATTATTTGCTTTTTCAAACTTCGATTTAAAGACCAGTGGCTCGAAACTGGTTTTGCAGCAAAGTTGTTCAGAATGATCTGTAAAACATTTACCACTCGATTTTGTTGTAAAAAAAAATCGATCCGCTCTAATGTACAAGTATATGTAGATATATTCGTAAGTAAAAACAAAAATCGAATTTTCGAAATACACAAGAAATACAAAGCCTAAATTGTAAGGCTCCAAAACTTCGAGATAAATAGAAAGGGAAGGCATTTATTTGAAYAAAACTAGATTCAAAAAGAGATTTCAACGAATAAAGTAGTAAAAATAATAGGTAAAGTAAATATATAAAAATRTATCAATAACCATGAAGTAAAAACCTCCAAAGAAAAAAGTTGATTTCTCGAATTTATTATTTTTTTTTTCTAAAATATTTTCAATTTCAAATTCCGCTTACATTTTTACAAGGCAAAGGTATTTCGCATGAAATGTTACATTTCAATTTTCTTGCAGCTCGCGTTTTACGCTATTCATTGGCAGCAGCTTTGTTCCCCTTCATTCAGCAAGCTCTCTCATTTCACCATTCTTGCAGTTTTTCCACACACTAAACGCTCAAGTTTGTTTGGCTAATAGCTTTTATGCTCCAGCGCAGCCTGCGCGTATACTTATGTGTGTTTCACTTATAGCAATCCTTACATAGTTACATACTTACAATGTGCACATGTGYGTGTGTGTGARTATGTGGTTGTATGGTGATGAAAATTGAAATTAGTTGCCTGAATGTGGGTGTGAAAGCCATAGTTGCCAACATTTACTCACTTAACTGTGCCACACACACACACACATTTTCAACGAGTACGTGTGTTTATGTGTGTGGTGATGCCTGCGAGCGAGGACAAGCAARTTTATGACTTCGCAAATGGTTGAAAACCGAGCAGCGAACGGACATAACTGCCTCAAAATWGCCTGTGTGCCCGCCCAGTCTAGATATGCTGGGGATAATAATTTGCCAAGCCATTTCACAATTCTTTAATTTTAACATATTACTGCAGTGCTTATGATATGAAGTGAGTATTTTTTCCGAAGATGTGGCACCATTGTGCATAGTTGCCGGGTATGAGAGACTTAGTCCACTGGATTTGGTGGGCATTGGGAAATTTATAAAACGATAACTGTGATTTATAAATTAGAATAAATTCGTTTTTTTTTAGTGGATTTGAAGTGATTTTCTTGATGAAGTTATTGAGACATTATTTTAATTTATTAAAGTGTTTAAGTTTTTGCGTGTAACTTTAAGTACTAAGCAAGAATGCATATTGCACTTATTTTTCAGATCAGACCTACAGGCTAGCAATCGCAGCGTCGAGACACGACCTTTTCTCTCCCTCCACTTCAAAAACGCTTTACACAATGAAACACTTCTTTTTGTTTAATTACTTTTGTGTAGGTATTCTCATTCATAAATAAAGCTCTTGGATCATTTTTGGACATTTGTGGAGCGTTCAACACAGTTCATACCGAACTTATTCTCAACATTATCCAGTGAATAGGTGTTGATCCCGCTATACAACGCTGAACCAGAAGTCTTTTGACCTCTAGATGGATATGAGTGGAATGGAATGACGCTAAAATGACCAAGGAAGTCTGCAGACGTTCCCCGCAAGGTGGAGAGCTATCCCCACTTCTATGGACATTAGTTGTGAATACACGCTRAGGAACTTGGACGGCAAATCCCCTATGCTAATGGCATATGCGGGCGGTATTTCCATCTTAATAACGGGTCGGTGTCAGTCCAGAATTGGGCTTCGAAAGTGGGTTCAGGGTTAAGCGCGGAGAAAAGAGATCCGCTTGAGATCAAAGAAAAATGGGAGACAACTCTCTCTCATATGCGTTTAGGCTTATGATCGGCACCATCTGAGGGCTCGCTCACTCTTTTATAGACTAGTGCTACACAGCTATTGTAAGATCAATTCTACTCTACGGTGCAGTAGCATGGTGAGTTGACGTACGGAAGCTAATGGAAGGGGTTCAGAGGTTCGCTGCGTTYTGCATAACAGGAGCTTTAAGAACAACTCCAACTGGTCATTGTCTGGTGGCACATGAGTATCTCATGTGTACTTGTCCTGTTTTGGCAAGACTACGCTGTAAGCACCCGGGGACCTCACGGTATGTTACACTATAGGAGATTAGTGAGCCGCAGAGTCTGTTAAAATTCACATGGACTAGCAATTGAACTCCGTCTGATATCGCAAATGTCCAAAACTGGTCTTTGCATTACTTATTGGCCTACCAGGTTAAACTAACCGAATCTAACCTATAAATCACATAAAAGCAGAAACTTCAATATTCTCCAATTTTAAATGGCAAAAAGACATCTCCATCTTTGCTCTAACGCAGATGGGAAAGAGCTTCCTAGAAAGGAAATTTTAGTGATAAAAATTTTTTTTTGAAGGACTTTGATATTTTTTCTTCGAGTTTTACTTATTCATGACACTAAACTTCCATTGAACATCTACTCAACAAAACAATTTAAGTCATAAGAGCTTCTAATGTCTCCACCTCAATCTGAACTGTGATCACCTTCGGAGGTGAAAGTGTATGCGAAAGGTTAAAGGTTAAATGAGGCACACATGTAAATAATGGCACAACGAATTGCCGTTTAATTTTATTATTTCGTGCATGTTCAAAATTTTATTTCATTGTGTGTGCGTGTGTGTGTGTGTGTGTGGGTAAGACTGTTTAATATGCCGATATGCCGGCAATTGTTTTTATTGAGCCGCTTATGATTTGCTTAATGTGCACCTTTAACCGGCAAAAGTCTTTCGGAATCACTTAAGCGCCCCTGCGCCGCTCGCTAACTCTCCGGCGCGCTTCTGTGCTCTTGGCTGCTGGCTCATTTGCCTTCGATCGAATTTATATTTACGCCAAAGTATCCGCATTTATTTGATATTTAAGCGGTAACGGCATATTGTTTTATGGCCACGTTAAGCAGCAAAGCCACATAAATTATAGGAAAATAAATTTAAGATGCGATATCCTGCGCCACAAASAACAACAGCACAACGGCACAGCAGTTAACGGCAGCGCACGTACGYAGGCAGCTTCCGACGAGCGGCGCTCGCTTTATTTGTGCTTGRCTGTGCTTGTTGCGGCAGCGGCCGCGACATGAGGCGCAGGAAAATGACCATAAAATATTACCAACCGAGTCAACGCTACGCACGGCATTAAGCGCCCAGAGCGATTTTCGATTCCAACAACGTACATTAATATGCACACATACATCCGCACGCATGCATGCTACCGAAACAGCGCGTTCACTCCTATAATTTTACCGATTTTAT